ATTCCGAGGCATCCTGGCCATACATAATAGCTCATTGAAGTGGCTTTTATCATCACACGTTGGAATTTACAGCAGCAGCAGCCAAATCATCTAAATCATTTAATCTCCTGACCAAAGCAAGTCGGCTTGATTTGTTTTCGTAATGTCCCTCCTCTGCCTCACGTTATGCTTCTCACGTCACGCCGAAGCCCTCAGGGCTGGCACGGCCTCTCGAGAGCGAGAGAGTCTCTCCTATAAAGAGAATATCAATGCGGAGCAGCCATGCAGCACGTGCACGTCCCCGCGTACCCGGGGCGGGCCGGGCCAACGGCGAGACGCCTTCGCGTGTCCGAGGAGGCGTGCGGGGAATCGATGGGTCGTCACGGTTCGTCGAGGATGGATCTGCCTGTGCTTCATGCACGTGGTCCGTCGCCGTGGTTGCCCAACGTGTGCTCCAGTGTTGATTCTCGGGCCTCGGTGGTTCTGTGTCATCTGTTGGTTAAACAAAGGATAATGACTGTACGCATGGAACAATCGCTCACCTTCCACAGAGCGCTACCCATTGTATTGACCATGGGCGTATGATAATGATGTGGCCAGGAATTGAACTAAATGTTGGGCCGTGCAGTCAACCTGTTCCACACCATCCAGCCACATTTTCCGCAGGGCCATGCGATGGGTAACCCACCCCCCGCCCGCTCCCTCACCTTCCCAGGAGAGACACGGGGAGTCACCTCCGGCGTCGCCCCACCCATCTCTCCACATCGTCGTCCGCTTGTTGTACGTCAATCGGCATTGCGACAACGCCTCCCTCGCCGGCTACGATGTCGTGACGAGGTGGAGCGATAGAGGAAGAGCTCCCCAGGTCCCCCACCACGCCTCGCAAAGAGGGCACCACGGTGGCTAGGAGATGTTAACTATCTCGCCTGGTATACAGGAGGTTGTGGGTTCGATCCCGATCTGACATCTCGATATTTGGAATTTTCATGTTTTCCCCATGATCGTGTGGATTTTTCTCTGGATCCTCCAGTTTTTCCCTCCACATTTAGAGTCGACATCACGTCTTGAGAGTATTCGGCTGATGTATAAAAGACAAATCCACGTGATAAGCCGCTTCGTTGAAGTATCATTTGTGATAGCCGGGGTCGCTTCAGAAAAATAGCTACTACATAGCAGCTCAGTGGGGCCTTACCTGGTAAAGTAAAACAACTAGTTCATAGTTTCAAAGCTCGTACAGTAAATCCTCTTACCAAGGGTAGATCCGCGCGGGTTTTTCCATGAGCCGGGAGGATTTTCCTCGGTTGCCCACCGCCGCATTCCTCGTTCCGTGCGTCGCTCGGCAACGCGGGGCCCTCCACGCGTTCCCGTCAACTGGAGGAGGCTCACGACTGCCGGCAGTCGCGACAGTCTCAGTGTCGGTCGATTCTCGCCCGCGTACAGAGAGCGGCACGCGCGGAGTCCCGGCCGTAGACGTTCGCCGCACTTGAACCGTGCGATTCGCCGTTTAAACGCCTCGTTGGGATCTGACAGGGAAAGGGGAAGGCTTTTGCTGCGCTAATCCGTTGGGGGAAATGCTCGTTCCAGTGTGTCCACATTTCCATTTGTTGTTGCTGACAGTGCAAAGGTTTTTTGCAGCGCCAACAGTGGCGGAAAAAAAATCGATCGCGGCCCTGAACCAGGTGATGCAAATTCCACATTCCTAAGGCAGGCGGTAATTAACTTAACACAACGATGCAGTTTGTATCTGTAAAGCCTTCAAACGGTGACGTCGTCTCTTACTTTCGCAGATCATTGCTTTGCGTTGTATAGTCTCCAGTTTTGTGTCAGACCCGGACCCGTATCTAAGAGAGGCTCCCTACCTATAAACCTCTGGCAGTTCACCAGCATTTCTTCAAGTGAGCCTGGCCACTGATGAGACACTGAATATCTCTGATGAGATACTAAATGTGCCGAAACTGGTCCAGAGTTTTGCTTATGTTAAACCAATGCTGCTAACAAAACATAATCTCTCCCAAGAGGCCGCCGTGGAGCCAGTGGGATGTGGTAAAACTTCAGTCGTTAACGTGGAGAGATGGTTGCGAGGCGCAGCCGCGGCGTCCGCACCTCCTTCTGTAAGAAGACGAGGACGTTCACAGGGAGGAATGTTTTGAGGATTATTTTGGAAGGGAGGAGAGGGAGGAGGAGGAGGCTGTGGGGCAGGGAGGGACAGCCGTACGAAGCTTCGCCGAGACCGGCAGAGGAGGAGAGGGAGGCCTCGAGCCTGGACTGGTACGGGAGAAAGTTGCCGGCTTTTTGACAGCAACGTACAGCAGGCAACCCCTCAACTTTTACACTTCAGGTTGCTCTTACAATGAGTGTCTGCATAGAACGAACAGCCTCTGTGGAGCAGGTGTGATTGTCTACCCTGTTAGTCTACCCTGTTAGTCTACCGGTTGGCCGACGAGTTGGCCTTCCGTCAAATCGGCAATCGCTGATAGCGCGGCCCTGTGCAGCGCCACGCTGTAGGGGCCCCAGGAACAAAAAACCCTCAGTAAGTGTCCCCCGGGTGAGCGTCCCCCGGGTGAGCGTCCCCGGGTGAGCGTCCCCCGGGTGAGCGTCCCCCGGGTGAGCGACTCCCGGGTGAGCGTCCCCCGGGTGAGCGTCCCCCGGGTGAGCGTCCCCCGGGTGAGCGTCCCCCGGGTGAGCGTCTCCCGGGTGAGCGTCCCCCGGGTGAGCGTCCCCCGGGTGAGCGTCCCCCGGGTGAGCGCCCCCCGGGTGAGCGTCCCCCGGGTGAGCGTCCCCCGGGTGAGCGTCCCCCAGGTGAGCGTTTTCGTCACGGAGGTTGAGACACGTGGGGCAGCTGCTGCGGTGAGACGGTCAGAGTCCCGTGGCCCTGCTGTCACGTGGCCAGGGCTGAATTTACTGTCCCGCTGAGTCACCGCGAGGAAATGCCAGCTCATTGAGCGCCCCGCGTGCAGGCACGCACGTGCGCACACACACACGCAACAAAGACAAAGATCCCCCCGTATAGCCTGGACAGACTGTCGGGGCAAGTGCCGTTAGCGAGCAGAACCTATGAAGGCCGACACAGCACACGAGGGGGGTGGGTGGCCAGCACCACGCCCGGGCACACGCACGCGCTCCCCCTGGCTCGCCACGGGAACAGAAGCAGCCTCCTCGACACCTCGCCTGTCCCCTCGGTGAACCCGTGGCGCCGATTAGCCCGACTCTACTAGGGCCACGTTTAGGTCACCGAGTGACGACGAGCATTGAGAACGCGAAGGGATGCCTCGTTTTGAAGCGCGAGTAATTTGACCAAATTTCCCCCCCCCCCCCGCCTGGGCAGCCGCATGCACACATGGACGGGCGACTCTGTGTGGGGATCACGTGGGGTTAAAAAAAAATGTTTTAGTGGCAATGCTCCAAGGCCCGTCGCAGCACCGCGTTGTGACGCACGCCGTCAACGTAAACTAAACCGGGTTATGAAAAGCAGTGGGGGGGATAAAGAGACGGGGAAACAAACGCCGACTGTTCACCCCCCCCCCCCCTCTGAACCAGACGGGTCCCCACCTAAAGGGAGTAATAAGGGTCGTCGTTATTTTTTATAAAGTGAAGGTGGAGATGACAAGGGTGAGGATATAACTGAAGCACGCCTGAAATGAAAAGAAAGAAACCATGAGAGGCGCCCTGGGCGTGTGTGTTTTCCTTCCCCACCCCTCCGAGTCCGACTCACGTCGAACCTGTAGGGGTTGTGCGCCCCTCATCCCCTCGCTCCGTGTCTCCCGACCCTCCGTCCGGCGAGCTTGGGACCACGCTGTGTTGGGTTGTTTTCTTCCTGACTACCGGTTGCCGTGCGCAGGACCCGAAGGCCCCAAAAACGTTAAGCGGCCGGCAACAAACGACGGGGTTCATCCTCCCGGTGCGCCGCGGACACCACCGCCACGAAAGCCACCACCACTGCTATCACCACAACCACCACCGATACCGCCACCACCGCCACGACCACCATCACCACAACCGCCACCACCGCCATGACCGCAACCACCGCCACCACTGGGTTCTGAAGTGCATCATCGGAATTTAACCGTTTCATTGTCTTTGCTGACGCGGGTGAGGAACATTCAGCCCGCAAGCTGTTTTGCGAGAATGAACACGAACGGGAGGTGACCGCGAATAAACGCTGAATAAGCGCGAAACATTCATTCGGGCGATGCAGGCAGGTGACGTGATGTCGACAAGGAAGCACCAAGCCGCACCCGCTAGTCCGCGAATATTATTGGTAGGAACCTCCTGGTTCCAACAGCCCACAGGGGATTATTGTGTCCGTCCGTCCAGGGAGGGGCTGGGTGGGGAGGGTGGGGAAGGGCTGGGTGGGGCTGGGTGGGGTGGGGAGGGTGGGGCTGGGTGGAGAGGGGCTTGTCACCCCGTGGTGCCCTTATAAAACTCAACGTTTAACCTACTCACGCCGGCTTATGCCCGCCCTCACAGTCGGGCATATTTGCGGAATGCACCACGCTGCCGTTGACCCTGGCCATTGACCGAGCAACCCAACGTTCCTACCAGCTCCCTCCGCAGGAATGTGTTAACGCGACGCCATGCCACGCGGGGTTCGTAAAACCGCACGTTCGGCGAGAGTAGGAGAAACGTCTTCAACGGACGTTGGGCTCGTCGCCACGGCCAGCGTGCGGGTGACGAAGCGCTCGTGCCATGACGCCGCTCGCCGCGGTGCATTCAGAGACGGCGGCCGCTTGCTTGGGAGCGGCGACGCGAGGCCCGACAGCAGCACGTCCGCGGCCGCCGGTTGGTGGCGCTAGCGGCTCGCAGCCATCGGGAGGCTGCGATTCACAATTCGCGACTGTGTTGGGTTACGGGTCGCCGCGTGGGGTATGGTGCCACATTTTGAGGTGTGTGTCCTCCGCCACCCGACAGCCGGTCAATTCACGTCGTCACGTCGGGGGCAGCGAGAGGGAGGAGAAATGTTAACGAGCGAAAGCAACCTTTTGACTACATTTTCTCCTTTGACTTTTCGCTGTCTTTCGCAGGCTGCCTGCCCCACATGACCCTCTCCCCAATGGTCATCGTCATGGTGGGGCTGCCGGCCCGCGGGAAGACTTACATCGCAAAGAAGCTCACGCGGTACCTCAACTGGATCGGCCTGCCCACCAAAGGTGACCGCCCACAGGGAGGCGACGATGTTGAATTTAGATATTAATATTATTATTGTTCTTGCTCTACTCGTAGTGAGATCTTAACTACCTCGCCTGGTATACAGGAGGTCATGCGTTTGATCCCGACGCTTGTATATTCGGAGTTTGCATGTCTCTCCCCTCCTGGTCGTGAGGATTTTTCTCTGGGTCCTCTGGTTTTTCCCTCCACATTTAGAAACCTGCGTTTAGAGTATTTGGCTGCTACTATTTTCACGTGGTAAGCCCACTTTGTTGGGCTATCTTATGTGATGGCCAGGTCGCTCCTGAAAAAGGGCTCTATAGGAGCAGCTAAGGTGGGGCCTTACCTGGCTAAAATAAAACAAATTGTTTAGTTTTAGTTTAGTTTGTTTACCAATAAAATCCTCACAGAGTCGCATGACTCATTTTCAGGGGGATCCTGTGGCCAGTTTTAACAGTTTGGGTGGAGGCAATGTTGCTGCTGTGTGGGATCCAAATTGACTATAAATTTGCAGGTAATATTCAGCAATTGGGATGTGGTTTTGGCCAATCCCAGTTACGCTGCATGTACGTGTGTGTATGTGTAGGTTTTTTTAACGACCACCCCTGTTGACGACTAATCGCTTAACGACAGGCCTCCATAGAGCCCAATATGTAGTGTATAGTAGTGTGTAGTGTATAGTAGTGTATAGTGTAGTGCCTCCATAGAGCCCAGTGTGTTCGCTTAGCGACCATTCCCCTGTTAACGAGGGGCTGTTGTAGGTACAGTAAGTAGTAATTAATGCATCTTTATCTATTAATGTCCATTGTTTAAATATTATAAAGTACGTTTTTTTGGGTGAAAAATCCTAACTTTCGATGCTTTGTGAGCGAATGAAGCCTCTGACGTGCATTTCCTATACTCGCTTAACGACCAAATCACTTAACGACCCGTTTCCTGGAACCAATTACCGTTGTTAAGAGGGAGCGGGGGTTCTACTGTATTTAGAGGAAACCGGGGGAACCCCGGAGGAAACCCCGTGCGGAACAGACGGAGAGAGAGAATACAAACTCGCGAGAAGAGAGGCGCTCGAGTGGCGAGTGTTACCACCGTGCCACCTGCCGCGCAGGTGATATTCTAGTTTGCGTAGCCAGGTGGCAACCACCCAGGGGGGCCACGGTGAGTCTCCTTTGCAAGCGGTGGCCTGGCTCACCGATGTGACGAAAGCTGAACCCACAAAGTGAACAGCGGCGGTGGTGTGGTGCACAACCACATTGGAAGTTCAAGACACATATAAAGATCCCTCGTAAAGCCTTAACAGATTGTTGGGGCAAATGCTGTTAGCAAGCACCTATGAAGGCCGGCACAGCACACGAGGGGGTGGGTGGCCAGCACCATGCCCGGCCACCTTTGTCTCTCCAGTGGTGATGTTTACACCGCACCAGGTACTCATTTTAAGGCTGAGTCGACCAAGGGGAGGCCCACGACCGCTCCCTGCATACACGCACACATACACGCACACATACACGCACACATACACGCACACATACACGCACACACATACACGCACACACATACATGCATACACGCACACATACAATCACACATACACGCACAGACGACAAAAACTCAACACATCTCTCCGGTATCTCCGCGGCATTGAAAGGAAAGGAAAAATATATATAACGGGCGACGTTTCGGGCAGCAACCCTTCTTCAGAAGACAGTTCCAGAGAGAGTCGGGAGTGAAATAAGAGTGGGAGAACTGCACCTTGGACACCGTCGTTGCCTTCGCCGAAATGTTAAGAACGGTTTCGGGCCGAGCCGGCTTCGATTTAGGGAACGAGGGCCTCTTCGCCCTTGAGGTGACGTCGAGTAACGGACAAACCCTCGCAGAATCCCCCCGCGGCCTCCGTCGTCTGGCGAACGGCGTCGTCTTCTGTGGGGGGAGGGGGGGCGAAGGGGGGTGCGCGTGTGTGACATGCTCCAAAATAGCCCGCTACACCGGAGCAAGGGCTCGCTTGCACGGATTTGCGTGAGCTCGTTAGCTCGCGAGCTCGTTAGCGCATTTGGATCTTGCCTCTCCCGACGTAATCGCTCTCCGCCACCCAATCATGCAAGCTTCCTCTCTCTCTATTTACCCGGGCGGAGACTTAAGCCTCCGGATCAGCCGACCCCGATCCCATTTTTCTCTCTGGTTGCTTAGAACTCGAGATTAAAAAAAATATTTTTGTTTTACCAGGTAAGGCCCCAATTAGCTGTGTAGTTCTTGTTGAGACGTAACCTGGTCATCACAAATGATAGCTCAACGAAGTGGCTTATCATCTTCACATGGAAATTCATAGCAGCCAAACACTCTGAACGTGTGACGTTGATTCTAAATATTGATTTGAACAAATAAAATCAAGTTATTGAATTTATTTTATACCTACGTGACTTTACCGAAAGAACCAAAGAGTGTTGATTCTAAATGTGGAGGGAAAAACCAGAGGACCCGGAGAAAAATCCACCTGACCACGGGGAGAAAGAGAGACGCAAACTCCAAATATACAGCAGGCGTCAGGGTCGGGATCGAACCCACGACCTCCTGCGTACCAGGTGAGGGAGTTGACGTCTCCTAGCCACCGTGGTGGCCAAATGAGATGAGCTCAGGGCCGCAGTGACGTCGTCGTCGTCATAGTCGTCTCACGAGCCTCTCGCTGTCACCAAACGCTGGACCACAACAACAGGAACTCAGCCTTGTGCGCCAGGGGTGGCTGTCACCATCATCAGCCGGGGTCAATCCACTGCTGGATGAAGGGCCCTTCCCCCAGCTGCTACCTGTTAAGATGTAACAACAAGCTGCTATCTGGTGGTGACATCACCATGGCGCTTGTGCCGGGCTATGTGCGCTTTACGGCCACGTGAAAGTGTCGAACGCCCGCCTAAGCGATGTAGCAATCCGCGTAGCACCCGCGCACGACCTGACTTCTTCACTCCGTCTCTTTCGGCAGACGTCCTCCTTGGACGCATTCCATTCCTCGGCTGCCGCGGTGGCGAGATGTTAACTACCTCGCCTGGTATGCAGGAGGTCGTGTGTTCGATCCCGACGCCTGCTGTATATTTGGAGTTGGCGTGTCTCTCTCCCCGTGGTCATGTGGATTTTTCTACGGGTCCTCTGGTTTTTCCCTCCACATTTATAATCGATATCACGCGTTTGGATTGTTTGGCTACTGCTATAAATCCCCACGTGATGACAAAAAGCCACTTCGTTGAGCTGTCACGTGTGATAGCCAGGGTCGCTTCTTGATAAAGAGCTACATAGCTCAGTGGGGCCTTACCTGGTAAAATAAAAATGATTTTTAGTTTTTATAGTAATAGTTTTGCATCAGCCTTGACGACCTGCCCTAGCCACTGAACATTTTGGGTGCGTATGTATGTCTGTACGTTGAACTTCTTTCGCTCCGTACGTAGGCAACCGCGCTAATTTCAAGGCAAAGCTGGGTGAAATATACACGTGGTGACGGCAAACACATACTCGGACAACACGTTAAAACTCGTAATTACAGATCCTAAACATGTAAGCATGTTGAGTTTCTTTCGCCTCATATGTAGCAGACCGTGCTAATCGGGGGTGCGGGGGAAGGACAGCAAGCTGAGCAAAAAAAAACAGAAATGAGTTTTCAATCTGGATTTTTTCCGCTTTTTGCGAAGGCTCGTGGTGTGAATCCGACAGGCTGCCCCAATTATCGGCACGGGTGCATTAACCAGGAAATACTACGCGCCGTCTGCAGTCGCCGTGGACATCCCGTGAGGTCATTCGATAAAGAGGAGGCCGTTGTGTGCCCGGCGTCATTGTTCAGTTTAGCCAAATTTGGAAAATTTCGCCGCGGATCTCCAAATTGGATTCATGCGGCAGTAGCAGCAGCCACAGCAACCCCGACCTCTGCCGCGACCTCCCTTCGCGATACCCCTGCGCTGCAGGAACGCTCCCGTGAATGCCAAGCGTACTCGGCAATCATTCGTGTGGCACCCCCATGGACAATCGGAACGCGGAGCGTCACGAATTCAAACGATGCGTGCCACGTTACGACGGCTCTCGTGTCTGTTCGTGTGCGTGTGCGTGTGCGTGTGCGTGTGCGTGTTCGTGTGCGTGTGCGTGTGCGTGTGCGTGTGCGTGTGCGTGTGCGTGTGCGTGTGCGTGTGCGTGTGCGTGTGCGTGTGCGTGTGCGTGTGCGTGTGCGTGTGCGTGTGCGTGTGCGTGTGCGTGTGCGTGTGCGTGTGCGTGTGCGTGTGCGCTTCTGCCTGAGCGGGTCATTCAGGGCGACCGCAGGACAGCAACAAAAAATGTCCCCGTGAGCTGTGGCCCAAGGGGATGCACACGCTCTGTAATTAATCTCGCGATGGATCCTCGCTAATTAAGCCGGGTCCGCGTCGTTGTCTCCTCCGCCATGACGTGACGAGGCCACGCGAGGCCACGCGAGGCCACGCGAGGCCACGGTGGCCACGCGGATCGCTCTCCGTTCGCTCACGGCCAGCGACGGCAACGGACGCGCTTCACCGGCGAGCTTCACCAGTGAGCTTCACTGGCACGAGGGGGGGGGGAGGTGGCGACGACCGCCCCGTGTTTCGCAATCACGACATTCGCATCGTGTCCTCTTTCGATTTTTGCCAAATTCGGCCCGCGACGCCGCTAGACGCCATGGGCCCCGCTCATCCATCCGAACGGCGCCCACAGCTGGAAGCAGGAGGGGGGGGGGGGGGCTACGTTTCAATGAGCGGCACCGCCGCAGTAATTTTACGGAGGGCGGCCGGCCGGATTCGTAAACAGACGGCGATAGGGCCCACCTCGGCTAAGCTGGCGGGCAACTCGATCTGCGCTGTCCGACGACATTTTCCACGGTGGTGACGGCGGTGGCGGCCGCTTGTGTTGCAGTGTTCAACGTGGGGCAGTACCGGCGCGAGGCGATGAAGACCTACAAGTCCCACGAGTTCTTCCTCGCCGACAACGAGGAGGGCCTCAAGATCCGCAGGTAGCTGCCCCCGTGCCCCCGGGGGTGCTCGCGCCGGCGCCGTCTCGTCGTGGCCACGGCGTGCACACCGGTGCCAGCGTGCACGTACCCTGTCGCTATTTTGTTGTTGAAATGTTTTTTTACGGCGGTCCCGTCCTGGCACTTAAACAATTGTTGGGCGATAGTCTTGAAGTCTCACATTTGTTAAGACTATTAGAAGTACCACGTTCTCATATAGGGGCACCGGTTTCTCTATCGCACAATGATGATATTGATCACAATGATGATACTGATCACAATGATGATGATGACTATGATGATGATCTCAATGATGGAGACAACGATGATGATGACGACGACGATGATGATGATCACGATAATGACGATGATGATGATCACAATGATGACGACCACGATGATGATCACAATGATGATGACGTGATTATGTGCATGATAGCCCCTGGGTAGACACTGGCTGGGATTTGAACTCGTCACCTCTAGAAGAGGAGTGTTTTCCACTCCCACCAATGGAGCAGCCTTGCCTAGCCACCATGGGTGGCAAACCAATAGACAGACGAGAGTCTGTCTCCGCAGCATGAGCGTACGTGCGATTTACATTGAGGTCCTAGGGGCTATGCGACTTCTGGGCCAATGTAATTCCAGCAGCATTCGTTTAAGCGGCAAACCCCTCACTGGATTTGACATCTCTTGAAGCTCTGTCAGCAGAGCGCGGCCGGTTAAGCAAATGCTACTGGGTTGCCCGGTATTGTGGGCACGAGGCGTCCGATTACAACATGGGACCCGTGTAGCACAGCGGGTCTGGCCGTGATTCAGAATAGATTTTTGCCTCTGTTCACATAACGATCTGGCCACGTTTTGTTGTTCTTGTTGTTGACGTAAAACCCCTCCCGCCAGCCCGACGCACCGCCGAGCAAATCGAATGACGATTTGTTTCGGCTCGCTAGCAAGTCGATGAGGAGTAATCTCAGAGCCGCGCGAGCATTCGCTTCAAACTGGCGTCGAGCAGCTTCAGGACAGGACGCAGGATCAAGTCAGGATCACCGTTGTCACCTGAGCAGGGCTCCTGAAATACATGCCATGGAATCGCAGCAGCAACGAGCGTTTAAACCAAATCACTATACGTGGCCAAGCCCGCAAATCAATCGAAATTATCTTCATGTTATAATAATGATACACCTGTCTTTCTGTATGTAATGCTGGCCGGGTGGGGAGGAGGCGGGCGGCGGGGAGCGGGGTGGGGTGGGGGTTGTGACGCCACGCTGGTGAGGTTGGAGGTGTTCACGACCTCAGAGACACTGGGCTGTTGGGTGGAGGAGTACCGACATCACGCGAGATCGGGGTGACATTGTGAGGAGGGGGCAGGTGACAACGTCGTGGGACTTAGGAGGCAGTAAGGAGATGGGACGGGTGATGAGGCCACGTGGCACCGGTGAGCTGGGGCAGCAGAAGGGCGATGACGTCACGCGTAGGCTGGGAGGGGGGTCGATTGAGGTCACGCGACACGGGTGAGGTGGACGACAGGGAGCGATGACGTCACGAGGCGCGGGGGTGGTGAGGAGAGGGGGCGCGTTATGATGTCGTACGACACGGGTGAGGTGTGGGAGAGGGAGTGATGATAAAACGTGCTAGTTTCCTTATTCTAATTATTATTATTTTGCATGTCTACCTAGAAACGCGTCGCTGAGGCTCATGTTTCAGGATGTGACGATTGCCATGATGTCATCTCGCTTGGGCAATTCATTTCTTAATTTGTCTTTTTTTTCTTGGAAAATTTACACCGTGAAGTCGGCACACAACGGCTTGCTCTTTACGAACGTCGTCGCGGGGGAATCTTCAACATCCACCGTGAATCAGCCTGCGTGTAGTGAGCGTTGTTTTTACGATTGCTACGCACCGCGGTGTTAAGCGGCGGCGGTCGCCGGATGCGGACCGTCGCCAACCTCTTCGACGAGCGGCGAGCCGCGACGTCGCCCCGTGAGAGAGAGCGCCACCTCTGGGGCGGACCCCGTCGCCAGTTCTCGGCGCCGCCACGAGGACCCCGTGTCACCTGTCTGTCTCTCTCTCCGCGAGCGCAGGCAGTGCGCGCTGGCCGCCCTGAGGGACGTGAAGCAGTACCTCAGTGAAGAAGGAGGACAGATCGCGGTAATTATCACGAGATCGAGGGTCGGCGCTCGCGCACCCACGCACACAAAGACAGAGATCCCCCGTGTAGCCTTAACAGACTATTAGGGCAAGTGCTGTAGTGTTTGCGTGTTTCTTCCACATTCCCATGGCGGTTGCAGGACACTCTGCGAGGAGACGTCCCCCACCGCGAGAGATTATCCAGGTGACACAATAAAAATAATAAATTAATACATTCTGGCAACCCACAAAGCGCTGCCCGTTTAATTGACCCCGGTGGGATTAGAGGCCTCGGCGATCCCCCTCCCCAGCCGGGAGTTGATCTCCCCTCATTTGGACCGTGAGCGGCGCTCTGTAATCCAGCCACCGCGTGGAGTGGGCCGGACTGCGCCAGAGGTCGGAGATAATTCGGGAATTAATAACAAAACGCTCGACGCTTTCGGACTCGGACGCAGGCTCCATTATTTCTGGCGGTGAGACCCACTGAACGTCTGCAGCTCCGTTAGAAGGACGAGCGTTCGTCAATAGCACTGCGGCCTTTGAAGAAGAAATGTATAACAGGTGAGGTTTCGGGCAATTCTTCATGCCACGAATATGAGGAAGGGCTGTTACCCGAAACGTTGTCTATTATATATGTTTTGTGCATTTAAGGCCACACAGATTTGTTGGTTAATTGTGGTCGTGCACCACTGCCAGCGCAGCAGCAGCAACATCGGCACATGATGAGTTTCAATCACGGACGGCACCGCAGCCATGACCCCAACGCCTTTCCCGCAGTGCCGCCCTGCGTCGAGCAGCGACGAGGGTTGTAATCTCACAGCGTGACCGACGAAGACAACGATGACAACGACAACAATAACAACGACGATGATGACTACAATGATAACGATGATGATGATGACTACAACAATGATCATTGTAGTCGTGGGGAGCGGTAGTGTAGCGGTTAGCGCGCTGCGCTACGAACCCGGCGACCCTAGTTTGATTCCCGTTCACGACAAACACCGGTGACGATTATCTGAACCGGTTCTGGGCCTCCCCTAGGTCGACTCAGCCTCAAATAAGTACCTGGTGCCATGTATAAACATCGCCACTGGGGAGACAAAGGCGGCCGGGCGTAGTGTTGGCCACCCACCCCCTCGTGTGCTGTGCCGGCCTTCATAGGTGCTCGCTAACAACACTTGCCCCTACAGTCTGTTAAGGCTATACGGGTGATCTTTGTGTGTTTGTGTGTCTGCGTGTGTGTATGCGTGTGTCTGCGTGTGTGTATGCGTGTGTCTGTGTGTATGCGTGTGTGTGCCGGACGGCGCCCCGGTTTGCCGGCTCTGCCCCCGCAGGTGTTCGACGCCACCAACACGACACGCGAGAGGAGAGACATGATCATGGCGTTCTGCAAGGAGCACTGCTACAAGGTGGCAACAACAACAACAATACAAATCATGGCACCTCCCTTGCCAGTATCACAATATAAGATTAGCTTTTTACCCTTTTTGGCAGTTGAATAGGTTTTAAGATGTTAAACACCAAACAGAAACCTTTTGCAAGGAATCATGACCACATTAACCACACATACTTGTGGTGAACATGCAAACAAAAATAACTTGCTCTGATAGTATATCATGTATTGCCTTTGAAACTGATGGGTCCACACCAGATACAGCTTTCTTTAGAGCCTCGTCTCAAACAGTGCTAGACCAGAGGACGCCAAAAGTCGAACAGCACAAAGGCAATGCCACTGATTCCTTGCAGAAATGTTTCTGTTTGGTGTTTCTGCATCTTAACACAACTGTTGTGTTGCCAGAGAGGGTCAAACCTCATCTAATAACAACAAAAATAACGACGACAACAACAACAACCGGTTTACCCAGGAAAGCTCCACCGAGCGCCTCTCCGTCGGCACGCGTGGCCAGCGCCTGTCGCCGTCTCCTGTGCCCCCAGGCTTTCTTCGTCGAGTCGCTCTGCGATGACCCGGAAGTGGTGGCCAACAACATCCTGGTGCGTGCAGCTCTCGCCAATCCCACGTTCACATGGCAGGGTCCAGTCCGTCCGCAATGTAACTGCCGTCGTACTGCTTCTGTTGCGGAAAAATAATTGATCGCGTTTTGGCTGTCAAATTGTTTCCCTCTCTTCATTAAAAAACCTCGGTGGATGGATGAACAAGGGGTGTGGCCAGCAGCGTCGCTAGTTAACAACGCGCTTGTGCACCGCCGCCAATGCCGCTGCAGCTTCACAGACGCGTGCACGCGGGTGTTTGCCGTGTGTGTGGTTGGGGGTGTTTGCCGTGTGTGTGGTTGGGGGTGTTTGCCGAGTGTGTGGTGGGGGTGTTTGCCGTGTGTGTGGTGGGGGTGTTTGCCGAGTGTGTGGTTGAGGGTGTTTGCCGAGTGTGTGGTGGGGTGTTTGCCGAGTGTGTGGTGGGGGGTGTTTGCAGTGTGTGTGGTTGGGGGTGTTTGCCGAGTGTGTGGTGGGGGTGATTGCCGTGTGTGTGGTGGGGGTGTTTGCCGAGTGTGTGGTTGAGGGTGTTTGCCGAGTGTGTGGTGGGGGTGTTTGCCGAGTGTGTGGTGGGGGTGTTTGCCGAGTGTGTGGTTGGGGGTGTTTGCCAAGTGTGTGGTTGGGGGTGTTTGCCGTGTGTGGTTGGGGGTGTTTGCCGAGTGTGTGGTTGGGGGTGTTTGCCGTGTGTGTGGTGGGGGGTGTTTGCCGTGTGTGTGGTGGGGGGTGTTTGCCGAGTGTGTGGTTGGGGGTGTTTTCCGAGTGTGTGGTTGGGGGTGTTTGCCGTGTGTGTGGTGGGGGGTGTTTGCCGTGTGTGTGGTTGGGGGTGTTTGCCGTGTGTGTGGTTGGGGGTGTTTGCAGTGTGTGTGGTTGGGGGTGTTTGCCGAGTGTGTGGTTGGGGGTGTTTGCCGTGTGTGTGGTTGGGGGTGTTTGCCGAGTGTGTGGTTGGGGGTGTTTGCCGAGTGTGTGGTTGGGGGTGTTTGCCGTGTGTGTGGTTGGGGGTGTTTGCCGTGTGTGTGGTTGGGGGTGTTTGCCGAGTGTGTGGTTGGGGGTGTTTGCCGAGTGTGTGGTTGGGGGTGTTTGCCGTGTGTGTGGTTGGGGGTGTTTGCCGTGTGTGTGGTGGGGGGTGTTTGCCGAGTGTGTGGTTGGGGGTGTTTGCCGTGTGTGTGGTTGGGGGTGTTTGCCGAGTGTGTGGTGGAGGGTGTTTGCAGTGTGTGTGGTGGGGGGTGTTTGCCGTGTGTGTGGTTGGGGGTGTTTGCCGAGTGTGTGGTGGGGGGTGTTTGCCGTGTGTGTGGTTGGGGGTGTTTGCCGAGTGTGTGGTGGGGGGTGTTTGCCGTGTGTGTGGTTGGGGGTGTTTGCCGTGTGTGTGGTTGGGGGTGTTTGCCGTGTGTGTGGTTGGGGGTGTTTGCCGAGTGTGTGGTGGGGGGTGTTTGCCGTGTGTGTGGTTGCGGGTGTTTGCAGTGTGTGGTTGGGGGTGTTTGCAGTGTGTGTGGTTGGGGGTGTTTGCCGTGTGTGGTTGGGGTGTTTGCCGTGTGTGTGGTTGGGGGTGTTTGCCGAGTGTGTGGTTGGGGGTGTTTGCCGTGTGTGTGGTTGGGGGTGTTTGCCTTGTGTGAAAGAGAGAGAGGACCACGTGGATTAGAGAGCCTTCAGAGGTTCATGACCTCACGCAAACTCTTAAGGAAAGTCAGTGGGGCTTGGGTCGGACACATCGCGGGCCTTTTGATGGTCGTGCGTAGCAACAGGGATGTAGTGGCAGCCAAGAGAATGTCCCCATTTTGGCGGCGGAGCGATGCAGTTGCTTAATTTGCCAGTGGCCGGTGGGATTTATGACATTGCAGGATATGTGAGAGGTGTTGGCGACAGCTGCTTGATCAATCCAGCAGTGGATTGATCAAGGCTGACGATTACGACGATCGATTCTTTTTTGTTCCCGCTGACGTCGTCGTGCGAACCGCCGATGCGACGCCGTCCCCCCCGAACAGGACGTGAAGGTGAACAACCCGGACTACAAGGACCACAGCAAGGAGGAGGCGCTGCAGGACTTCCACCGGCGCATCGAGTGCTACCGCGCCATGTACCAGCCGCTCGCCGAGAAGCACGACAAGTGAGCTGCCCGCTTCACCCTCGAGCGCCGCGACCCCGACCGCAACCAACCCCTGGCTGAGCCGCGCAACGACCGGGTCGGCGCGGCGGTAACCCCGCCGAATCGTAGCACCGGGGTGGGTGGGGGGTGGGGGGGGCGTGTTCGTGGCGACCCGCGTCTCTCCCCCGCTCTCCCGAGGCGGTGAGCTCGGTGGGATGGAGCTGCAGCAGCTGCGGCTCGAACCCATCGGAGCTTGCGGCTAATTGGCGCGTTCTGTTTACGTGACAAACCTTGCTAATTGGCCGTGTCGGGTGGTGGCGGGTTTAACGACACGTTTATATTTACGTGATATAACTCCCAACAAACAAACTCTATTGTGGGTGACATCGGTTGTGAAAGCCTCCTGCGTGTTAAAGTGTAATAATACCTCAATGCTAATATGGGAGAGACCCTGAGCAGGCTTGCTGCAAAGTGCGACTACGTGAAGTAATCTCTGGAGTGCATCGGGTGTCGGTAATAAATAAATAAAAATAAAGAAACAAATAAATATATATTTATATATATTACCTGGTAAATATATATAAATATATTTACCAGGTAAGGCCCACTGAGCTATAAAGATTTTTTTCAGAAATGACCTGGCGATCGCAAATGATAGCTCAACGAAGTGGCTCATCATCACGTGGAAATGTATAGCAGTCAAACACTTTAATGTGGAGGGAAAAACCGTTGTCATGTGGAAAACTCCACGTGACCACGGGGAGAGAGAGAGAGAGACATGCAAACTCTAAATATACAGCAGCAGGCGTCAGGGTCGGGATTGAACCCACGACCCCCTGTATACCAGGCGAGGTAGTTAACATCTCCTAGCCACCGTGGGGCCCCTGCAATGTCACCGTGCCCACCGTGTTGCCGCATTTACAGCACGTCGCGGGTCGCCCCTTGGATCGGGCGACCCGCTCCGGCTGCGTGCGAGTTTCCGGGGCAGCCGGCGGTGTTTTACTCTCGTGACCCCCCCCCCCTCCTCCCCCTCCCCGCGGTCCGCAGCGGCCTCTCCTTCATCAAGGTGATCAATGTGGGCGAGCGCTTCCTGGTGAACCGCGTGCGCGACCACGTGCAGAGCAAGATCGTCTACTACCTCATGAACATCCACATCCAGCCGCGCACCATCTACCTGTGCCGCAACGGGGAGAGTGAGCACGAGCTGAGGGGGCGCATCGGCGGGGACGCCTGCCTCTCCGCACGCGGGAAGCAGGTGAGCAGCGGAGAGGAGCAAACGAGGAGCTAGTGGAGGGAGAGAGAGAGAGGGGAGAGAGAGGGGAGGGAGAGAGAGAGGGGAGGGAAAGGGGATAGAGAGAGGGGAGAGAGAGAGAGGGGAGAGAGAGGGGAGGGAGAGAGAGAGGGGAGAGAGAGGGGAGGGAGAGAGGGGAGAGAGAGGGGGAAGAGAAAGAGGGGGGGGAGAGAGAGGGAGGGATTGGTTAGGAGGAGTGAACTCTTTAGTAATGGATTCCCTTTGCGGAGTCACGAATCGATTAGCTTTTTTCCTCTTGTCGTAATGAACGCAGCATCAGCGGCGGCCGCCGCATCGGTCTCGGGCGTCAGCAGGGCCGACGTGACCCAATCGTGCGCGAGGGTCGCAAACCAGACGTCGCACTTCCACAATAACCACTCGATGACGCCTGCGCTGCGGGCCACGGGTGTAGTCGACGGATGGACGCCGCGTCATTCGACCCCCGATGCCTGCCCCACGCCTCGGACCGCCGCACACGCGTGTAACAGCCGCACGCGTGCGTGCAATCGTCGTGTAACCGCCGCGCGTGTCAACCCCCCACCCCTCCCCCCCCGTGCCGGCGCAGTTTGCCAAGGCGCTGGGCCGCTACATCCGCGAGCAGGGCCTGGAGGACCTCAAGGTGTGGACGAGTCAGCTGCGGCGCTCCATCCAGACGGCCGAGGCCCTGGGCCTCCCCTACGAGCAGTGGAAGCCGCTCAACGAGCTCGACGCCGTGAGCAGCGCTCCCCACATCGTCGCCGTCGTCATCGACACCATCATCAAGACCATCATCATCAACGCCATCATCATCAACACTATCACCATCATCAACATCATCATCAACACCACCATCAACACTATCATTAACGCCATCATCATCAACACTATCACCATCATCAACACCATCATCAATACCATTATCAACACTATCATCATCAACACCATCAACAACACTATCACCACCATCATCAACACTATCATCACCATTATCACTATCATCACCACCATTATCACTTTCAAAATCACCACCATCAGCAACATTATCATCACCATAATCACGATCATCACCACCATTATCACTTTCAAAATCACCACCATCATCAACACCATCATCACGATTATCACTATCATCACCATGATCACTATCAGCATCATTCCACTCCTGGGTCAATCCCAGTCAACTCATCCGGAGCTTCCCACCGCTGATATTCTGTGGAGTGGAAGGTGCGGATCGGGTATCAGAGCAGGCCGATTGCTTGGCATGGGGCTGCGTGTTGACGCAGGGTTTGTCCCCCGTTGTGAGGAGACGTTGCATGGGGGGTTCGTATTCCACATTCTGGGCGATTTGATTAATCTTATCCGGCCCGGCTGGCTGCTCAGTGGTAGAGCGAGAGGCTCGCAGTCAGAAGGTCACGAGTTCAAATCCCGGTTGCAGATTGACTTAGCGCATCATAATCATAACCCCCCCCCCCCCCCACTCCCAGGGTCGATACAATTAAAAAAATTGTACTAGAGTACTACTTTGCTGGGAAGTGAACGGTGGTTGTTCTAGGGATAGACTCTCCCCTGCCATAGGAATGTTTCATCACTCAGGGGTGTTAAGGGGAGGTGAGCACCGATGCCTAAATGGTCACTTGAGCAGGAGGAGGAGGGAGGGGGAAGGTGGGAGGGAGGAGGAAGTGGGGGGGGAGGAGGGAGGGGGAGGAGAGGGGAGGAGGGAGGGGGAGGAGGGAGGGGGAGGAAAGGAGAGGGGAGGGGGGAGGGGAGGGAGAGGGGGAGGAGGGGGTGCCCTCCTGTGGTGTCGGCGTGACCCCAGGGACACCGCGAGGGCGACCGATCGTCGACCGCCCCGGTTCGTGTCGTCATCGCCACGCCCGGCACGGCGACTCACCAGGCGGGCGACTCGTCCCTCATGCCCCCCCCCCTCGCAGGGCGTGTGCGAGGACATGACCTACGACGAGGTGAGGGACACGTTTCCTGACGAGTACGCGCTGAGAGACGTCGACAAGTACCTCTACCGCTACCCTAACGGCGAGGTGGGCACTGTCGCGCTGCACGGCACCCCACGGCACCGCAGGACACCGCACGGCACGGCACCGCCCGGCACCCCACGGCACGGCACCGCATTGTGACACATGGCAACACGCTAGATGGATTTTTTCCTTGTCCAGCCTGTAGTATATACATCCGTCAAATTATGACCTTCACCCCCCCCACCCCACCGTCTCTCTCCCGCAGTCGTACCAGGACTTGGTGCAGCGGCTGGAGCCGGTGATCATGGAGCTGGAGCGGCAGGAGAACGTGCTGGTCGTGTCGCACCAGGCCGCCATGCGCTGCCTGCTCGCGTACTTCCTCGACAAGGGCGCAGGTGCTCGCCCCCCTCCCCTCCTCCTCCTCTCCCTCCTCATCGCTCGCTCGCAGCCACATCACCCTCTCAGCACGCCCGGTCTCGTCGCCCCACCACCGGCGTGGTGAAGGATGGTCAAACAAACCGCATTGGAGAGGCTTTTATCCAGCAGTGGATAGGCAGAGAGCTGGACATTATTATTTTATTATTGCTATCAAAGTCAAAAGTGAGTTAGGGCTCAAATGAGCATTGAGGCATTGGTGCTCATCTCCAGTTTACAGCCCTGAGCCAGTGGTGGAAATTGCACATTCACATGGCGGGGGTGAGTCTATCCATAGGACAACCGCTGTCGACTTGCCCACTAAGTTGGACTCATTTTAGCCACCCCGTAGGGATGGATGATGGGTATTTGTCAACTCCCCCTCCTCCCCCACCCCCCACCCAGGATTTTAACTCGCACCCGTCCAATCGCCACGAGCCGCTCGTGCCCGACCGGCGTGACAACGACGTAGCAGTCGCCGGTTGGCGAGAGCTGTCAGGAGTTTTACGATTCGTAGAACGGCTGCGTTGTACTTCTTTCTCATCGTACGTAGCCAACCGTGCTAATCGGAGGTGCGGGGAAGGCCAACAAACTAAAAACACAAAAATCTGTTTTCAAGATATTAGTTTGCCAACTAGGTGATGATTTAAAAGTGCATAGCTCCAGTGGCTTCCTAATATCGGAAGGAAGAGCGTTCCAGACGGCCGCAGAAGCGCGTCCGAAAGCGCCGCACGATGCGGTGGCCACCGTCTTTGTTCTATGGCGAGCAGCCAAAAGCCGCCGCTGCCGCGAGGATGACCGGAGGTCGCGCGATGATTTTGCCTGCACTTGTTTAGTTTTTCACTTTCGCTTCTCCGTTCGTTCCCACAGAGGAGCTGCCGTACCTCAAGTGCCCCCTGCACACGGTTCTGAAGCTCACGCCCATCGCGTATGGTGAGCACGACGGAGGGAGGGGGGGGGGGGAGTTGTGATCTGTAGGAGTGCGAGTTGCGATCGGTCGGATTGAGAATTGCGATGGGTAGGATTGCGAGTTGAAATCCTGATTTAGTCCCAACAGTGCTCGTACCATGGTTTGGGGCGCTCCCCCCTGCCATAGGAATGTGTAATTCCGACTGCTGGCTCACGGAGAACAGCACTGCTATAATACTCACTTGAGCAGGTGATGCAGGTCTCATAATGCTGGCTTCTTAATGCAGACCTCTTAAGGCAGGCTTATAATTCAGGCTTCTAAAGTAGGCCTCTGTAATATGGGCCTCTGAATGCAGTGTGTCATGAGCCACACACGTTTGGTCTGTTCGTGCAGGCCCCTGAATGCTGGTGGTCGTACAGGTGTAATGACGACTTGACACACTTCTCTTGAGATGCCACTTTATGGAAGGCACGTTCACTTGACATCAGGCAGAGACCCCCACTGCAAAAACCCCGAGTCTCCCGCGCATCTCCCCCTTATATACCAACCGAGGCCACGCCCCCCTTCTCGATCATTCTCGCTGACTCTGGACGCTCGCTCCACCGGCAGACTCCACCGTCCGCTTCCGTCACCTGACCATGCTCCCTTCTCGATCATTCCCGTAGCCACCAGTCCCTTTGCACTGTAGACTGACTCCCCTGTCATTACCTCCCGTGGCCACTACTCCACTCACGTCGCTTGCAGGCTCTATTGTCATTCCACATGTTTAGAACAACTCAGCATTCACCTCATAGCATCTCAAATTGTTTGATGATCCAACTCGCCAATTCACTCCAGTCACTCGCTCCACTAACTCTTCCTCCTCCACCAATGTTGAGAACTCGGTCTACCAGACTGGTTCATCTCATCCATCGCACCGTGATCAGCCATCCCACTCCAGGTCTCAACACTCACCCACTCAGTACACTCCAGGTCACAACAACACTCACCACACTGCAAGTCACAACACACTCACCCGCTGACCACACTGCAGGTCACAACAACACACTCACCCACTCACCACCCTGCAGATCACAACAACACACTCACCCATTCACCACACTGCAGGTCACAACAACACACTCACCCACTGACCACACTGCAGGTGACACCAACACTCACCCACTCACCACACTGCAGGTTACAAGAATGTACTCACCCGCTCACCACACTGCAGGTCACAACAACACACTCACTCACTCACAACACTGCAGGTCACAGCAACACACTCACCCACTCACCACACTGCAGATCACAACAACACACCCACCCACTCACCACACTGCAGGTCACAACAACACACTCACCCACTCACCACACTGCAGGTCACAACAACGCACTCACCCGCTCACCACACTGCAGGTCACAACAACACACTCACTCACTCACAACACTGCAGATCACAACAACACACTCACCCATTCACCACACTGCAGATCACAACAACACACCCACCCACTCACCACACTGCAGGTTACAACAACACACTCACCCACTCACCACACTGCAGGTCACTACAACACACTCACTCACCATACCGCAGGTCACAACACACTAACCCACTCACCACACTGCAGGTCACAAAAACACACTCATCCACTCACCACACTGCATTAACTCTTGCCTGTCCCAACTGTGATGGTGCTGTTTGTTGCTGGACCTGTGTTTAATTGTTGATGTTTATTTTGATATGTGGCCACCAGTCACAATAAGGGGGCCTCGTTGCTCTGTTGAAGTAAACCAAATTAATTCTCGTGTCTCTTCACAGGCTGCAAAGTGGAGAACATCTCCCTGAACGTGGAGGCCGCCAACACATACCGCGAGAGGGCAAACGTACGTGGCTCGTGTGACGGCGCTGAGTGTGTGACGATGGCGATTGTGATGACGGCGCCCAGTGTGACGACGCTGTGGTTGATGACGCCCAGTGTGACGACGCTGTGGTTGATGACGCCCAGTGTGACGACGCTGTGGTTGATGACGCCCAGTGTGACGACGCTGTGGTTGATGACGCCCAGTGTGACGACGCTGTGGTTGATGACGCCCAGTGTGACGACGCTGTGGTTGATGACGCCCAGTGTGACGACGCTGTGGTTGATGACACCCAGTGTGACGACGCTGTGGTTGATGACGCCCAGTGTGACGACGCTGTGGTTGATGACGCCGAACCCTCCGCTTGGGGGGAAGCGGCCGACGACGACGGCGCCGCTGACGCTGACCGGCGGCTCTCCGTCTCGAATCCCCGACAGACGGGGCCCAAGAAGGGTCCGAGCCCCCTGCAGCGCCGCAACAGCTACACGCCCATGGCGAGCCCCATGCACAAGGTGCCGCGCATGGACAGCCTGGAGGTGCTGGACGGCCTCGAGGCGTTGGGGGGACTCGACCCCTCGCAGGGATTCTTTGCCGTCCGCAGCCCCACGGAGAGGCACGCTCCCGCCAACCCCCTCTCCTCGGTGAGGCCACTCGCCGACGGCAACCCCCCCTCCCGCCCCCCCCCCCCCCCCCGCCCGCCACCTCGTCTTTCCGTCGCCACCGGCGTGGTCGACGGTCCCTCGGGGTTCGAAGGATGACGCCCATCGGGTTTTCAGCGGTGGCTATTGTTGAGGCGGGGCTGGCCAGTCCGTTTCTGGATCCGCATAATCTTTTTGGCATCGGGGGAGCGCCACGCCGATCCCAGATGGAAGTGGAATCCGCGGCGCCGGCTCGGCTTCCCTGTTCCTTTCTTTTTGTTGTGGGGCGGCGAGCCGCTTCGACATCGAGACGTCCTGGGCCTCCAAGTGTGGCCGCGGCCTGGTGGGTGGATGCAGCGGGGCCACCCCTAGTCGGTCGGCAGCCAGCCCCCGCCGCTTGTCCCAGCCTTGAAGGCTGATCTTTCGGCGCTTCAGGGAGGACTTGAGGATATCGCCACCTTGGCTCTCCGCCCCACCGGGGTTTTCTAAACCACGGGCGGCTGGCTGCCCTCCTCCGCAGGGTCCGCACCCTCTATCACAGGGCCCTCTGAGTACCTACTCTGCTGCAGGGCACCCACTATTTACTCTAACTATTTATTTTACTAGATAAAGGCCCCATTGAGCTACTATGTAGACATTTTTCAGAAGCGACCCTTGCCATCACAAATTATAACGCGACGAAGTGGCTTGTCGTCGTCACCTGGAAATTTATAGCGTGACGTTGATTCTAAATGTGGAGGAGAAAACCGGAGGACCCGGAGAAAAAAATCCACGAGAACACGGGGAGAGAGACACGCAAACTCCAAATATACAGCGGGTGTCTAGGTCGGGATAGAGCCCACGACCTCCTGTAAAGCAAGCGAGGTAGTCAACATCTCATCACCGTTGCAGAGGGCACCTCCGCCGCAGGTCCTCTTGAATACCTCTTCCACGCGACACCACCACAGGATTCTCCCCCCATCGGGTTTGTTTCCACAGGTCACCTTCTCCGCAGGCTTCTCCGCCACAGAGAACCTCCACCATAGGGCACCTCCGCCGTTGGGAAACCTCCACAATAAGACAATGTGAACCCCAAAACTGATAACTGAACACGAAGCGGAACGCAGCCTCTGGCGAAGGTCTGGAAATGGGAATTGGGGTGTAGGGCTAAGGTCGGATAGTCCACAGGGGTGGCTGGTTGGTGAGGGTTATGGTAGGGATTGGTTGGATCGTGTGCTCTGCCACCAAACTGCTTGCCACTCCTGCCCATCGCTACGCATGGCTTTTTCAGTTTCTTGGCTGCTTAGGGTTTAATCTTCGTATCCTGCGGAGCCGCTGTCCACCGCGCGGGGCCCGAGGCTGAAGGGCGCTATTCGCGACTTGGGGGGCGGCCACCCGAGGGGTTTAATTGTTTCTGTTTTCCCCGCAGAACCCGGACGGCGTGTCGAGACCGAGCACCGTGCTGGAGGTGACGGAGGGCGAATAGACACCGCGGCGAGCTCGGAGTCTCGGCCACCAGGGATTCCGCTCGCCGCGTGGACATTGAGCTGCCACCACGGTGGGGGAGGGAGGAAGCAGGGCAGGGGGGTGGTGGGGGGGGGTTACTTTAAATTTGTTTTTTTTTGTTGCCCGACCAAACGAGAGACGGAGACCGTTCCTGAGACGGAGGTCCACTCCAGAGATAGGCCGCTCCGCTTGGATTCGCGTCGTCGTAAAATATAAAAAAAAAGCGCCCCCAGCGATGGGGGGAGAGGCCCTCCGAGATTAATCCGGGAAAGCGTTCGCCACGTCCTCAACTCGGCATTTCACGGCACCAAGGGCCCCCACCCGCCCCCCCCCCCCGCGGTCGCAGTGAAGCCGTGTGACAGCGGACGCATGGCCGGACAGACGCTCTCTCGTCACGGACGCGCGAGAGAGAGAGAGGATCGTCCGACGAGTGTGGGGGAAAAGCCCCCCATCCCATCCCCCCCCGCCCACATCGTGCTGGAGCCATTCGCCGAACTTTTTGAGTCGGTGAATGTTGGATCCGATTTGACAGGGCATTGGTTGGTTCCGAGAATGTTTTAACGTCGTTGTTGTTTCGTTTCGATTTAAAGCTTTCGTGACTGCAGGGATTCATTTTCTTGGTTCTTTCGGTAAAGTCACGTAGAAGGGAAATAATAAAATTATAAAAATAAAACATCATAAAATACAATTCTTACAACGCAAGCAGCCGTCCTCAGTTGAAGAACAGGGCTGTCAGAAACTTCGGACGCTGTCTTTTCCGATAGCCCTGTTCTTCACCTGAGGACGGCTGCTTGCGTTGTGGCCGAAACGTCGTGAGAATTGTATTTTATTATGTTTTATTTTTATTCTTTTATTATTTCCCTTCTGCGTGGCTTTACCGAAAGAACCAAGCAGAGGTCGTTGTTGTTGTTTTTAAAGAAAAATTATCGCGCTGCACGCGGATGCAAAGGGTAGCGCGAGCTCGCGCGACGCGTCCACCAATCGTTGGACACGTCCGGTCGGGGCTCGTGCGACGCTCTTACAATCCTGAAAAATATCTGGAGGGATTTTTTGTTTGTTTTGGGTCCGTTAAAAGCATAAACAAAAGTCTGTACGGTTCACCCCCTCCGAGCGGAGGCGGAGGGGTCGTCGGCAATTCGCCCCCCCCACCCCGTGCCACCCACCCCGCTTCAACCTCGCGTTATTGCCCCCCCCCCCCCCTCCTTGTGAGCGGGGGTTGGGGGAGAAATGTCGTGCTGACGTGACGGAGTCACGTGGCCCACGACGCGGGATCTCTCGACGATCCCGCGACGATCCGGCGAGTCGAGCGTTACGGTTCTTCGTTTGGAGTCGGGGAGAGAACCCCACCCCACCACGATGTTCCCTGCCGACTTCGTCATTGCGGGCTATGCACCTCGTGACAAAAACATTTCCGGGAACTCCGATTTTATTTCTCTCGCGTGAGAGCTGCGGTTTTTTTCTCTCGTTTTAACGTTAGAATGTCCCATAGTCGTCGGCTAAGTTATTTATTAACCCAGGGATCCATATCTCACGATTTAAGTGCGTTTATACTGTTTTAGAGAAGTCCGCATGTTAACGATGTAGTTTTGAGTTGTTACGGTCATGCTATATTTTAATTTATTAATCATCACAAAAAGACTCCAGTCGTGCGCGCGCACACACCCACACACACAAACACCCACACACTCACACACACCCACACACACACACCCACACACACTCACCCACCCACCCACGCGCTCACCCACCCACACACTCACCCACCCACACACTCACCCACACCCACCCACACACACTCACCCACCCACACACACACACCCACACACGTGTTTATTTATGGTCTCTATGTATTAAGGGAATTACCACTGCATGACTGCTCGCATCGGTAAGACTATGAACTAATCAGGGTGCGTTTAGACTCCTTTAGAGATGACAACGTCGCAGGGTTTCCGCAGCCGATGCCGGGATTCACAATTGAGTTTCGGGGTTAGGCCGCGACGTAACGATGTCACCAAGCGTTTTACCACGTAACCGAGCGTCGCCTGCGAAGCAAATTAAATATCCACACAACTCTGTGGCTGTCGCCTCATGATGCTGTTTGTCGTTACCGGCTCTCCAACACACACATTCCGGTATCGTGCTGAACCAGTCACTCATTGGCACGCTCTGTTTGCGTGACAAACCCTGCCTAGTTGCCTGTGCCAGGTGGTGGCGGGTTAAACGACGCATTTATATTTTTATGCAATCTAACCAGAAAAGCCTCTGTTACGGGTTTCTGTGTGGAGTTTGTGTGTTCTCTTTCCCTCTCTCCTGCAAGGGTTTTCCCCTGGTTTCCTCCTTCCATAGCTGAAAAACCACACAGACACGGTAACTGGTGTTAGCACAAAAACAAACTAAATCTCCAACGCAAAACAACGACCTCTGTTTGTAACGTCGCCTCCCTCACCAACAGCTGTCTCGGCCAAATGTTAGCGGCGCTTTGGACAAGCGAAGTTTTTTGTTTGTTTGAAGCGGCATCTCGAGCATCCCCGGGTAAGGCACCCGGAACGCGCACTCACGTCCCGGGCCTTTCTTTACGAGAAGCGTCGTTGATTTGGGCTGCCGAGATTTGGTGTCGCCTCGACAGACCTGGTTTCACCTGAGGACGGCTGCTTGCGTTGTGGCCGAAACGTCGTGAGAATTATTTTATTATGTTTTATTTTTATTATTTTATTACTTCCCTTCTACGTGACTTTACCGAAAGAACCAAGAAGACTCACGCACGTGTTGTGTGGAGCGGTGGTGCAGCGGTTAGCGCTGCGATGCGCTACGAACCCGGCGACAGGGGTTCGATTCCCGCTCACGGCGAACTCGAGTTCCAACGGAGCCCGGATCCATTGCAGACGCCGTTCAATCCGGTCCACGTGCTCGTGGCGTGTGTTTGTTGAACTTCTTTCGCACCATACTTGGCCAGCCGTGCGTGCAATGCTTCATCGTTGCAGGGATCGAACCGATTCTTGCACCCATGGCGCAGTGCACGGAACCGCACGCACCTCCATCGGTCACGATTTTGACGTTGGCTCGAGGAATGCGAAATGCTCTCTCATTCGTTGACCTTGATGGGGCGAACGAAAGTTGAGCGTACGAGTCGGAGCCAGTGAGGAATGACGCCACTGAGACGGTGCAAACCGCCAGAATAAAATCCTGGGTCCCCCATCGAATGTTTTGAATCTCGTGGGGTAGGGATGGGGGCTCGTTGTGACGTGGCCCTGCGCACGGAGCGGTCACAACGCCCGGTGTGAAAACGCGGACGGGGAGTCGACCCTTGCGGACCGGAATCCCTCCGCTCGTTGCAGTCTTCCTCCCACTCCTCCCACTCCACGCACACGGGCGGCGTTCGTTTAGCGAGCGGCCGTCGCCACGTCGACCCCATCTCGATGCTGTTCTCGCGGCCTGCGCGCGCACGCCGCTGCCGGCGGGAAGGGGCCTCGCGAGAGCGACCTCCTAAGAGTGGCGTTTGGCCGACTCTTGGCACGCCGGTGAGGTGGGCATGCCCGGCACTGCCACCGCCACCATGCGCGACCTGCCGGTCGACCGACCGTGGCATGCCCGCGTACTCTGGCCGGCGGGTGGACAGACTTCACGCCGGGAGGTAGAATCGAACCGGCGATCCTCTGCGTCGCACGTCCAGCGTGGCCGCTGACCGCTGCGTCACCTCCCGAAGTTATCCCGCGTCTGCTCGGGGGGACGCTGCACCGCCACGCTGCCCCCACGTGCGAGCGTGCAGCCCCGTCAGCGGCGAGGAGAGAGAGTGGCCTTCGTGAGGCGCGCGCCGCGTGACGCGCTGCGCGAGCTCGCGGAAGGCGCCCGCGTGCTGCAGTGACACCGTAGGCTGTTGAAGTCTTCCTGCCAACAAAGCTGCAGTCTGGTGCGGATGTTGCACGAGGGCTGCGTTGTTCTTGACTTGTTAAGTTGAAAAATAAAATATCTCAAGTTCTCCGTGCTGATCGGCGCAATGTTTTCTCGCAGGCTGTTGAATGTGACGTTGCCTGCTTTCAAAAAACGCGATTGTCTACATTGCCGGATGAAGCTAGTGCGCGGCCTGTAGCATAGAGGGGCCCTAAATTAAAAATATATAAATATTAAAACACAAATTTTAACTTGCAAAGTAATTGTATGTTTTCATTTGCTATACAGCCAGATAATACGACAAATCGCTAACCTTAAACACCCAGTCATTCATAAAAGTTGAAGGCAGTATAGTACTATAGTAATAAAGCAAGTGCAGAATCACTGAACCGGAATTGATAGCTTGAAAGCATTTCGCGCGGGGCCCTTGAAAGTGCGGGGCTCGTAGCTACTACATATGTAGCTACTTTTGCTACGAGGACAATCCGGCACTGATTGTGTGCGTCGCGTGACCTGTCTGCTTAACGCGCGTGGGGTTTTCGCGGCCGATGGCGCGATTCGTCGTCGGCTTCTCGGGAGTGAGATCGCCGCGCGCGAGCAAGAATAATGCCCAACGTTGAGTCGCACGCCCTCCCGCCACAGCGCAGACGAGTACAAAGTCACGTGAACAAACGGGGGGGGGGGGGGGGGTGCCGCGTGTTCATTGTCGCTGCAGCAGCGCACCGGTGGTGGGGAGAGCGCAATCCGCGTCGTCGGAACAACGGGGTCGAGCCCCCGATCGTTAGAGGCGCGTGCGTCTAACGATCTGTGCTCGATTCATCGTTAGTCGCACGTGCACACGTGCGGCACAGCTGTCCCGCGCCGGCGTGCCGAAGCAACCCCCGTTTCGGCTTCTTCGTTCATCGCGGTGCCGTACAACTCTCTTACACTTTGATAAGAGGTTATTCCCCTTTTTTCTGGCAACAAAACAGGTGTTAAGATGTTAAAACACCAAACTGAAACCTTTTACAAGGAATCATTAACCACAATACTTGTGGTCAGAATGCAAACAAAAACATACTCTTAAATATATGCATTGTCTTTGAAACTGATTGGTCCACACAAGAGACAGGTTTTCTTTTGAGCCTCGTCTCAAACGGTGTAAGACCAGAGGACGCCAAGAGGCGTACTCTGGTCTTATACGTTGTCCGTGGAGGGCGTACGGCAGCAACGTTTGACATTTCACTCGCGCGGAGGTCTGACCCAAAAGAGCCAACGGTGACTTCATTGTTGGAAGTTCGTTGTTGTGGTCAAGTCCACGCAGCTGCATGAGATGCATTGGGGTGGTTGTGCCGCGTGCGCCGTGCCTGCTGGTTATTTACGAGCCATCGGTTTTTACAATGCGCCGGTAAATGAATGTAGTCGCGAACGGCGGTGATTATCGTTCGCGAGGGTTTTCACGATTCTGCCGAGAGGAGAGGCAGACTGACATTCTGGCCGACTGGCCTTCAGGAAATATTGAGGTTTACACACGGAGAGAGAGAAAGCGAGAGAATTAGTCGCGCAGATATGAACAACTATTCCAACACCTCGATGTCATCTCAAGCAAAGAGCGTGGGGCTGAGCGAGACGCCGATTGCCAAGACCGGCATTTAAGCGGTCTTCCACCAGTCCGACAGTTCAGTTTCATTTATGAGGTAGAGCCCTGTGAGTCATACGCCTCTTGACTCGGGTGCAACCGCAACAAACAAAAACACGAACAAAGAACATCTTAAAATGACTACGTGCAACAGAAACATCCAGGAAAAAACAGCAGAATCTTCCAGAAAAAAGCACCGTACATCAACGCTGTGGGATGCAAGTTATCAGCTAACTCTGTACTTCAACAAACAAACATGGCTAAATTATACGTTTTAGATATAAGACCAGATGGTGGGAGACTAACACTGCAGATCTATGTGTTTCTGAGTCTGGGTCTCTGTGTAGGTCTGGGTTTCTGTTGGTCTCTGTGTGAGTCTGTGGGTCTCTGTGAGTCAGTGGGTCTCTATGAGTCTGCGGGTCTCTGTATAGGTCTGGATCTGTGAGTTTGTGGGTTTCTGTGTGAGTCTATGGGTCTGTGCGTATGTGGGTCTCTGTTTAAGTCTGTGAGTCTCTGTGGTGTGAGTATGTGGGTCTCTGTGGTGTATGTGGGTCTCTGTGTAAGAGCAGAAGGTGGGATGATACTGCCAGGGAAGATCTTGGAGGTGGGGTCAGCGTCTCCACTGTGTAGCAGTGTGGGATGTGGTGGAGTGTGGCCAGCTTCGGCAGTGAGGCGCGGTGGTGATTGTGGTGGTGGCGCCATCAACAGCTTCGGCCACGGTGGCATCTTGCTCATTCCCCTACGGCCCGTGTCCTCGTGGCCACATCCTGCCAGGCACACTGCTGTCGCTCCAGTCCTGAGCACGTGCAGAACAAATCCCGTTCACTACCTCCACCTGCCCAGGCTCTGCAGTGGTGACGACGGTGATGATGATGGAGGGAAGGACTTTGACAGTCACTGCAGCGGTGTGCTTCGTGTTGTCCCAGAGACGAGTCTCACCCCTGCCAACAGGCGAATGTTGGGACTCTGTCTGGAGAATTGCTTCGGGCTTTATACCGCGTCTGAACCACTGCACGCATCTCTCAGGGGTCACTGTTCCAGGAACAACTGTTGACGTCACGTCATCGCGGAGGGAGCAGGGAATGCCAAATATCACGGAAGCCTGCAGCACGGCGACTAACCACGCCACACCACGGATACACATTCAATTTTGGCTAAAACTCGTTTAAAATAAATATCTATTTTTTAAAACTACAACGCACAACTGCTGCGACTGGACATCTGGCGACAATCACAGCCGTGTTAATGGGGAAAGAAGCGAATGTAACGTGAGGCTCAGTCTCACTCGAGCCTCCCTCCCCAACACGACACAACCATGAGGGGCGAGAGCGTCGTCCTGCATCCAAAATTGCATCTCAACGATCGCCGGGCAAACCGGAGACTCGCGCTGGAAGGCTGTCCCAGGCGCTAACAATTTCTCCGCAGTTCTCCATCGAGTCAGATGTTTTCGGCCAACCCGGTGATCGTTTTACACGCGTGTCTGTGTGTTAAGACTCTCCATCTCTCGCTCTGTGTGTAAAACCTCTGTTGCTGAAGGTGGACTTCCTCGCCCTGGGTGGCATTTGAAAACT